TGATTAGGTACTTGATACTTTTGATTTTTGTACAGTCATGGCTTTTCTATTCTGTTCTGTTCTTTCTGTCTGAAGCCATGCACTGTATCTGTATATGTTTATTTTGAGGAAAGAAAAGATAGATGAACCATTCTGCATTCGGATATTTATAGTAGCTCTGTGTTTCTCTGTCTGTTTAATACTTGGAAGAAAGTTCTGAAGCAAATTCCAAAGCGAGATCCTGGATTTTCAATGGTTGTGTCGCGGCCCGATGTGAGCGGGATCCATCCCGGTCAGGTTGGGTCGTGACACTAAATATGTCAGTCATTTCCAACCAGTCTTTCTTACTTTTACACACATTTCACAGAGTGTATATCAAAATAGCAAACCTCATGTACACATCTTATATAATTATCATAGGATATTAATCTATCCAATATGCTCATAAGTATGCATATTTTATGTCAAAATATATGTTAGACCAGATGAATAATCAATTTGTGAATATTATATATTTCATTCATGACCACTTTTTACTTGTTATTACTCTTCTCTTTTCAAATAAAATGGTATATATGCAAAACCAATCAGTGAAATTTAAATATAAACCTATCAAAACATTCAGGGTGTTGATGTATATCACATATTAAAAGTTTTATATTATAAGTTTGCTATAATGGGAAATATTATATTTTTATCAAATTCAAGATAGAGAAAATAGACAAAACTTGATATTATCAAAAACAAAAGTAGGGCTAAGGTTACCTACCATTATTAGGGACTTTTCATAATTGGAGAGATGAAAAATACCAACTAGAAAATATTTCTCTCCTTCTTTCTCCTTTGTCTTCCCTTCTCTTCTCGGTCCTCTCTCACATAACATGCAAAGAAATGGGGAAGGGGAAATACTGGGTGAGGGGGTTATCAAAATGGATTCATATATTTCATTAAAAAAAAAAATGAAATTACTAACTCAGCAACATAACACTCAAATTCTCAATGCCACAACACTCACTCAAACCCTTGTAAACTCGAGAGTTTGGAGTCGCAGTGCTTCATAAACTCAGCTCTACAACCCTCCCATTTAAAATTTAATATTTATAAGAATTTAATTGAAATTAAAATTAGATGCTCTTAAAGTCTAACCACCTTATAAAAATATCATCCTTCATATTTATCATATAAACCACTAGTAGATAGAATAGAACTATTGATCACTAGCTGCATCAATCATATTAATTAAATCATATATTCATTCACTCACACATGTATGCATGTTAATAAATCAGTCATATATCATGTTATGTAATGCATTTCAATCAAAAAGTAATAAAACTTCACAACATCATTCAAAATAAAGAACTTTACCAGTATACTGCTCAATTGCATCTCTCACTTCTTGCTAACTCAAGTTGTACACCCTTTGTTAGATTGGTTTTATCATCATCATGATGTGAGTTGCCTCTATCTTCAACTCACATTCCTCTAATCTGTCCTACTCATCAAACCCTCACTAGACATCTTAGATCATGAAATTCTCTATACATATGTTGTCTAGATTGATCTATCCTTGATTCTAATCTCTCTCAATTTCCACTTTGTGGACAATCAATCATGTGCCCATACTAACCACATCTAAAACACCATCTTAAGATCAGGAAAATTTATCTTACATGCCTCGTATCACATTAGGGACACTCCATCATGCTATTAGCTGATATCATTAGTCATCTCCTAAATCAACAACCCTGCTTTTCTTGTCACTACCTTCTCCTCTAGTCACTTCTTCACCTGATCTTTTCTTACTCATATTTTGTCTAAACCATAGAATAACAAAATTATTTTCTACTAACCTTGTTCTCTCAACTAATTTTGAAAATTCTTGAATCCTTAATAGAACCAATGAGTGTCTTAGTTCATCCTTCAATCCCATTAAAAATCTATAGTATTTTTTTTTCTCAACAGTCATAACTAGTTGAGGTGCATCATGGCAAATGCAATCAACTTCATATTACATCATTGTCATGTTCCCTTACTATAACCTCATAAAAACCTCTTGCATCTGCTATCATGCTAATAGAGGTGCAAATTAGTCTCTAAAAGCATTGACAAACTCCTCTCATGTAATTGATGTATTCAATTTACCTTAAAACTTTTCTCTATATTGTCCTATCAACCATCTTTCAGCTTCACCTTCAAGTAAGAACATTGAAAATGGTACTTTCTTGACTCTAGGCATTGCATGATGTCAAATAACTTTTTAATTCTCAATAACCAATCCTCCAATACATGTGGCTCTAATGCAAAAAAGAATGAATCTTAGAACTATCTAATTATATTCATCTCAATCAATTCCTACAGCTCTGATTACAATTCAATTTTTCTACTAATCATTGCTCAAATACCATTTTATGATGCCCTAACATCTTATTTAAAATATTTATATCTTTATGTTTTCTATTTTATCTACAAAAGCCTATAATAATTTATTAGTTTAAATGCGTAAAGCTAAAGCAACTTTAAATAATATGCATTAAGTCATATACATCAATTTATAATTTTATTTTTTATTTTTCAAAATTCATGTATAATAAGCAGAAGTTCAATATGCAATATCAATCTATCATTAAACACTTTCCTTTACAAAAGAATAAAACCAAAATACAATAAATAAAACTAAACCTGAAGTCCTAATCAGCCTCACAATGTTGGGACTTAATGTGAAAAGCACAAAATGATCTAACTACTTAGTAGATTACAAAAATCTATAACTACAATCAAAGCATGATAATAGAAATAATATGCATGTAATCATTTAATTTATATTAATATAAACATATAATAATAAGATCATGTGACAGTCAATATGAACAATATCAGTTCAAGTGAGCCATGGATATTAATAAAAGTGAAGTAAGTGGAGAATCAATGATCAATATCTATATAAAGGATCAACCTGTTTTGTCATTCTTATACCTAACCTCACAAATATAATGTGCTCTATAAATTTATTCTTGTTTATAATTTGTACTTTATTTCTATCTATATGTTATTTCATGTATATCATTATACATGTCATATCAAATAAGTATTATGCCAAATAATAATTATGCATCTATTTTATGCAAATCATACAATATCAATTCCTGTATATCATATTTTACATTAGATACAATATATCATGTGCATCATGTATACGGGATAAGTGAGCCGAGCCAACTTGCTCTCCGGCTCAAACTCGACTCAATAACGAGCTTGCAAATCGAGCTTATCGAGCCGCGAGCACAACAAGTCTTCCACAGCTATGATCGTGTCCACGCTATACAAGAAAAAATGCAACATCGTCTTCTTCTTCTCCAGCTTTGAGCATTGGGCAGCAAACCAACCCTTTTACTGTGAGCTCATGAGCTGGCTCGTGAACTTCTCTTTATTGTACTAGCCAAGCTCGAGCTCGAGTTCAAATAGTGATTTGGCAGGTGAGTTGAGCTCAAGTTAGGCATGACTCGAGCTCGGCTCGACTCATTTACACCCCTGTTCATGTATTTGACATGCATTATATATCATAATATCAATCTTATCAGTATTTTCATATGCTTGTATCAATCATAGCTTATATCATATTCATATCATATCATATCATTCATATTATTACCATGGCATGCCCTATTCAATTAATATGCAGTTTTAGCATGTAAGAAAATCATGTTATAAGCAAGGGCGAATATCTGACTACTTGGATTGTTTTTCCTATATCAAGTCCTATAGCCCCTACATGAATAAATATGAATCATATCAGTCTTGTAAAGAAGAATCAGTAATATATCTCATGTCACAAATCAAGTGGCATTCATGTAAGGAGTCACTTTCTACTCATCAGTATATTATATCATATCAATCAATATCCTTATATCTCACATTTCATATCACATAGGATTACATTACAAACCTTATTTCAAGAAAAGCTTGTCAGCTTACCCTCATATATAGGTTAATATGTCCTTGACTAACCTGGATCAGTTAATCATTTCCAACCAGCCTTTCTTACTTTAATATTCATTTCATATCATGTAATAGACATCATGTACACACCTTATACAATAATTATAGCATGTAAATTTATTTAGTATACTCATCAGTATGCATGTATAATGCTAAAATACATATTACACCAAATAAATAATCAATTTATGCATATCATGATCTCATGTCCATATATAATATATTTAATCTTAATTATTTTGTACTTGCTATTACTCTACTCATTTCAAATAAAATGATATATATACAAAACCAACCGGTGAAATTTCAATATGAACCTGTCAAAATATTCAAGGAGCCGATATCTACCCATATCAAATGTTACACATTAAAAGTTCACTAGAACAAGAAATATTCTATTTTAATCAAAATTAAGAGAGAGAGAAAGTAAGCAAAACTTGATATCATCAAAAAATAGAAATAGGGTTAAAGTTACCTATCATGATCATAGCACTTTTTTTAATTAGAGCAATGAAAAATATCGACACAAACCCTACTCTCTCTCTCTCTCTCTCTCTCTCTCTCTCTCCCCCCCCCCAATTTTTCTCCTCTGCTCTTGCCTCTCTCACTTAACAATGCAAAGAAATTACTGGTGGGAGAAGATTTTTATCTAAATAGATTTAGATATTGCATTAAAAAATAAAAGTCCAAACTCAGCATCATAGCGCTCAAATCCTTAGTGGCGCAGCACTCACTCATACCATTGTAAACACGAGAGCTTGGTGCCATAGCACTTAACAAACCCAGCACAATAGGCTCCCAACCAAAATTTCAATTTACAAAAACTTCAATGAAATTAAAATTAGAGGCTATTACACTATAATCATGTGGCAAGGGTCGAGGATCGGAATCGTGCGACCATAATCATAATCGATGAGCAACATGGGTCATAAGATTGTAGTCAATGGGTAACAAAGTTTGAAATAATTGTATTCAAGTGATGATGGTTGAAAAATTATGGTTGGTCAATAGTTGTTGGAGGACTGTAGATGATTGAAAGAGGTTGGAGGACTATGATTGATCAACGGTTGTTAATTAATGGATGACAGAGGTTGGAGGATTGTAGTCAGCCGATGAAGATAAAAGAATTGTAGTTGGGCAACGGAGGTTAGAGGATTGTAGTCGAACAATGATAGAATTAATACCATAGCCGACTAACGATGATTTGGAGGACCACAGTCATGTGATAAAGGTTGGGGATTATGGCCGGGTGACGTTAGTCATAGTTTACATGTAATGGTGGTCAAAACGATAGTATTGGTTGGCCGACAAAGGATCAACAGCGATGATTGGGATAATGGTCCTGTGATGTTGATCAGGTGCTACTCCACAATCCTTAAGAGTTTCATAGCTCTTTTAAGTCTCAAGTTAAAATTCAAACTCCAACTTCAAGCTCCTCCCTCATGTAAAATGTGGGGGCTATTTATAAATATTTGAGAACGTCATGCCTGTGAATATGGAAAAAAAAATCTAGAACATCCCATCGAACGACACATATGGACTCTCTTGATCAAAAACTTTTGTTCAACATTTAAATGTCTTAATGACATCAAAATTAAACAATCTTAGAGGGTGAGGTTTGGTGTGGGTAACTTGACTTGGCCATGAAAGGCCAGAGTTTACTTAAGTATTTCGGTCTTAGGGCTTGATGGATTCCCATGATTGCAGTTGATAGTAGAGATCTATCCAGACGGAGGTGGGGAGTGGACATTGGACGGAAGTGTTGCGAACAGCAGAGGGGTTTGATCATAAGGTTGGAGACGAAGGGAAGCTAGTTAAAGGGGAAGCTCGTAGCTATGTGGAATACCCCACGGTGTCTTCATATTCTTTCTGTTTTAACGACAAGAGCCAACTGTGTCGAGGCCGAAGTGATGAGGACGGAACGACCGAAATTTGACATAACAACAGGATTTGAGCTGAAACAAGTAATACATTAATTGGTATTTGACTCTTTTCTCGATTTGGCTCCTGCTTTTTGTTAATACCTTATCAAGTTAAATGCTATATTAGTACTCCATCATTTTTGTATTTAATTTAGAATGACAAAACTGTATCAGGTTAAAGTTTCATCAATTTGCGTGCTTCCTCGTTTTGCCCATTCTTGCCTCGTTTAACATGTCAATTTTGCCGAATATCAAAATTAGACAAATTTATAGTGCATTTAGGGTATTCTTGATGTTCTTGTTGCAACGGCACGGTCCGTTTCACGATTGGATGTCGTTTGAGCAATGTCGATGCTAATTTTTCTCAAAATACGTGTAGTTGCTTTGAAACCACCTCGATTTGAGTGTGCAACTTCAATTAAACAAATTGATAGTGCATTTAGAGTACGGTATTATGAACACAACGACAATGTATGTTTGTCAATCGAACGTCATTAGGGTAGCACCGAGCGACCTTTTCCTTGAAATGCATGATTTGCCTTGGGATGCATGCCAACCTCCTCGCATGTTTTAATATGAACAATTTTGGCTGTCATCCTTAGGTATTTAGGATATTTTGAACATAGTGGCGAAGTTTGTTTTGCGACTAGACTTCGTTTGGGCGGTGTCGAGGCCTATTCCACTCGATATCTGTGTTTTGTCTCGAAATTGGTGCCATCAATCTGGATAATCCAAATTGAACATAGGAAATATAGTTCTTGAGTATTCACGATATTCTGATCACAATGGTGAAATCCGATTTGCAAACGGACATCATCTGAACAGCGTCGAGGTCGATTTTTCTCAAAATTCATGTTGTTGCCTCAAGATCCATGCCACCAATCCGAATGTTTTAAATTAAATAAACAAAATTTAGTTTTTAGAGGTTGACAACATTCTAGATGCAACGACGAAGTCTGCTTGTTAATATGACGTCGTTTGATCAATTTCACACTTTAATTTCGGGTGTCAGTCATCCCTTTTGATCGATCTCATCTGATTCGACTGCAAGAGGCCTCGACCTAGCAGAATTCAATATTCTAATTGCAAAGTCGATGTCCGTTTGGCATTCAAATGTCATTTGACCCTTTAAGTGATACGTCGCACCAACCCGCGCACTGTTTGAATTGGCACTTTCATCCTATTTGCATGTAATTTGAGTTGTAGGGGTCAACACATACTCATCAAATAAATTTTAGCTTAAACAGCTAATTTTATTTTCACAAATTACATTTTCTGCTCATCAGACATGATTTGGCATTCAAAGAAATTATCTACATCTAAGCTAATAGTAAGTGAAAGATTTAGGATCAGTTTTACCATGATTGGCATGCACTTTAAACCATCCATCTTGGTTATTTCTTAGTCACCTACAAATGTTGACATACAATTGAATTGATTCATCAATGACATTGAAAAGTATAATTAGTTCTTATTTTAATGAAACAAATATCATCAGAAATTTAATTATGCTTGTTCAATGATTCAGCTAATTGAATTTATAAAGATCATAAATTATATTCCTTTAATAGTTTATTAATTTTCTCTTATAATTAACCTCATTTCTAAATGATATGTTGACAATAGTCTTGTTATCAATCTAATACAGAACGACTAAGAGTTATTAAAGTTTTATAATACAACTAATATGATGCAAGCTTTCTTGCAAAAATTGAGGATTTACATTTAAGAAATAATCAATTAATATAACAGTTTATTACATAATAATTCATTTTATGCTCCTGAAAAGTCTAAGAATTCGTTTGTGACAACTTTCTTATTGCTTTCTAAAACAGCTTTTTAGTACAAAAATTTCTAATTAAAAAAAAAATTTGTACTAAAAAGCTACTTTAAAAACAGTAAGAAAGCTCTTTAAAACGAAGCCTAAGCATATTTTAAATGCAAATAATGTTAAGTAGCAATTGATAAGGTTAATTCAATGATCAATACAAGGTTACATATGAAGATAATATTCTCTACCTGCAAAGATCCAAACTCTAGCTTGAACTCAATATTTTCCTTCTTCCAAGAATTCCAATAAATTCCACAGCTGCTTTGAGAGCATTTATACAAGCAAGATCTCCTAAGAAGGAAGATGACCAGGTTGCTTCTCCCCCAGCCAAATCAGACACTCCTCTGAATACAATTACTGGTATTCCGGAAGCCATAGCAGTCTGTAAGAATATCCGTGAAAAAACTATGTTGATAATATCAGCCATAAACTAAGCAATTAGCTTTTATAGACATGGAAATGTTTGTATTCACAAGCTACAGATGATGTTATGGCAACATAGTGAAGTAGTTTTCAGTTATTTGGCTGTTTTGGTTTGCATAAAAATGGATATTAAGTGGAGTCTACAAAAACTCTGCATGTTGGATCTCATGTTCAATCTACTGAGAAGAAATATGTAAGTAAACATCTTAAAGAATCTAGTGAAACAGATTGATTGACACAAAGGGCTTATTTGATTTTTTGTTAATAAAAACATGCTTTACAATGAGAATTTGACCCTTAACATGTCACAATGTAAATTTACAGAAATATTTTTTTAATGGCTCGAAATTGTGGCCGCCAGAAAGACATGATTTGTCGAACCAAAAAGGTCCTAAGTTTGTACTTGATTAATTATAAGCAACAGTGAAAAGTACCTGCACAACAGCTGCACTTTCCTGATCCACAGTCGAAACACCAAATTCATTAAATAGAAATTGTCGGTAAGCAGCATTGTCTATGAACACATCAGCTGTTGATGCTTTCAGCCCAAATACCATTTTAGGATCATCTGGCAAGCAAAAACTTTCATTTGCACACCTTTGCAATTCTACCTTCAAAATTTTGCATCAAACTATAAACAACGGATGCCTTTTGAATTTAAGGTCATAAGCTAATTTTGTACACACCGATTAACATAATGAAACATGTCATGAAAGGAAACTTAAAATTAATCATATAAAAGATAACTATCAAAGTAGGAAACTAAAAGCAATAACATGCTGGTGAATCTAGCCAAACGCATACCTTAAGTTGCTTGGCAATTTCATACCATTGTGACTCCATCTGCAACCAAAACACTTGATCCATGGGCTTTCCATCTACAAACAAATCTTCAGACTTAAAAACTACACTTGAGAGCAAGTTCTTCCCCTCTGCTGGAGCGTTATATGCTGCAAAGCTAAGCATATTAGCCATCTTTGTTTCTGAGTCAAATTTCTGCATTCAGAAAAAAATAAATAAATAAATAAATAAATCAAAGATGTTGCTTCTGCATGAAGTGGTGTCTGTGCAGTATTCTTCTGTCTCTCATCAAGAATTGTTGAAGTTATTTGGTGAAGTTGTCGCTATTGGAACTCCCATATTAGAAATGTCGTATAGGTTTAAAGTATTCTTCTGTTTCTCTTCAAGATTTCCATCTTTCCTGAGCATAATCTAATTCATTGAGAAGCTTATTGAAACCTGTTTCTAGTTGCTAGTCAGACAACAGCTTCATATTTCCTAGCCTAATATTGGGTAATAGTGTAGTGCTTCCAACCAGAAATATTTTAAAAATTGTATGTTGTCTAGCCTTCTTTAATGATATTAACGATTTAGCAAGATAAACAAATTTTTCTCTAAGGCTTGATTAAATTAATGTAAAAGGAATGTGTAGGAAACGAGATACATCAAAGAAAACATGCCACCTTCCATACTTGCTCTATAAAAATTTAGTAGAAATAATGTGCATTTTTCTCACCATTGACTGGCCATCTAATTCACTCACTGATGGTCCGAACCACCTTGGCCATCCATTATTCAAGTTCATGCTGAGAACCATCAAGGAGACTAGATTAACAATGGCAATCTAGGCATGGATATATGAAAAAAGCTTACCTTAAGAATATGATAAAAATTATACATATATATATATATATATACTCTAAATAGTACAACAACAACAACATCAAGTCTTTGTCCCACTACGTGGGGTCAGCTACATGAATCTTTTTTCTCCATTGTATCCTGTTAAAAGTCAAATTCTCATTTAAATCTAATAAAGAAAGATCATTTCTAATGTTTTATAATCAAGTCTTTTTAGGTCTATCTCTACCTTTCTTAACATAATTCAAATCTAATACCTCTATTTCTAATGTTTTCTAATGCCGTTTTATGTGACCAAACCATCTAAGGCGACTCTCTTTAAACTTATCTTCCACTAGAGCTATTCCAATCTTTTCACAATGAAAAAAAAGGATTCATATAGCGGACTCCACATATTGGGATAAAAGTTTGATGTTATTGTTGTTAGCTTTTATTTGACAATTATATTGAATTACATTCCTTTATTGAAAGAAGGAAACTGAAAAAGTAAATTACATACTAGTCCTTCAACTTCAGTTATTTATTACCCTAAAACTGTTTATATCAAGTCCTAAAAATTCTTTAACATGTTATTGGTATGTCCTTTTCTTTTAAAATAGTTCCGATCCATATAGATATTAATTAGCTTATTGAATCTTAATTAGAATTTGGGAGTAGTGTACCTACTGTTTACTTGGTCCGAACGTGAAAACTTTTGGATATAATTTATACAAATATTATGGCAGTAAAAATAAAACATTTTACTTACCGTCCATGTCCATGATCCCGTAAAGGCCACATACTTAGGAATGCTAACATCGCCAAACGACATGGAATCATTGGCGCTACCTGTAGTCCCATAATGAACGATTCCTCGAACGCTAAAAATGTCCGAAAGAATCTGCACTGTGACGCCTGCATTCAACTGCATCATTCATTTAGAGTAGATGATCAGGATTGTCGAAGGAATGCATTACAAAAAGGCAATATCCTTTTTGTTCTTAGCTATCAAAAGTAGCCGAAATCTGAAGTTAGCTTCCTGAAGACTTCAATTCGCATAATATTATACTTATCATGAAAACATTAGCCTACGTTTTCAATCAATCTCTTAATTTGAAAGCTTATATAAATAAGGCTTCGTGCTTATTCTAATTTAAGAAATCATAGTGCTTATCTTATTTATGTCAATTTGTTTGTTTAAGAATTAAGATGCTGTGTTTATTTCCCTTGGCATCACTTCTAACTATGTCAAAAACAATAGATGAGTCACTGTCAATTAACATATAGTTACCAAGTACTGTAACATATTGATGGAGTGGAAATCTAACTGGCAAGTAAAATATTTTCCTAAAATTGTTTAGGCAAGTGCTTTTTACCCTTCGTCGGCCAGACATAACATGAATCACATTCACATCTCGTATGCTCCCAATGTGAAATCTTCGTCCTGTACATACAGAAATTAGAAATTTGTAATAACTTATACTGTACTCAAACTAAATAGAATAAATCAATTATCCTTTTCATAAGTACATGCAATCTAAAACCCCTGTTTTGGTAGGATTAGAACTTCTTACTGAGAATAGGCTTTATAAGAACCTAGAATGTTCGATACCTTAACAACAATGTGGATGAAGATTGTGTTTTAGCACAACATGACCAGAGTATAAGCTGACCAATTTAGAAGGCCATGCATTTTTTTTATATGCATTGAACTCTCACTATTTCATATTAAACAACTTGATCATTCGTGTTTTCGATCACATAACGATTTTTAGAAATATGTAAACTTTCTATTGTGCTTAAGAGTTATATATTCTTACTTAACATATTTCTTTGTCAAGATGGCATATTTTCATTGTTGATCCTTTCTTTAAAGTTTGACCAAAATTTGGCATTTCTCTATTTCTATATCTAATGGCTTAAATTAATGAATTAAAGAAGAAAAAAATAAACTTTGTTAATAAAATGCTTACAAAAGTTAAATACTAAAAAACATCTAGTAAAAAACCAATATAATTTGTTTTTTCTCTAAAGAAAACTTAGGCTTCGTTTGGGATGACATTTTTACTGCTTCTTGAAGCAGTTTTTTAGTACAAAAAAAAATTAATTTTTATACTAAAAAGATGCTTCAAGAAGCAGTAAGAAAGCCATCTCAAATGAAGTCTTAATTAAAAACAAAGCTTGCAAAATCAAGCCCCGTAAAATGAAAGCAAAATCTTATTAGTTTGTGCCTACTTGATTAGATATGAAAAATAAGATATACAAAAAAATATAGTCATCTAATTTCATGACCTTTTAAGATTTCTTTCCTTTAAAAAAAGAGAAGAATCATTACCATGTACTTGTTTGATTGAAATATGGTATTACCACATTTAATGCAAAAGAAAATAATGATTGGGGGACTGATATAGAGTTTGTGTATGATGATATTTTGATTAAAGTAGATTGACTTAATAAAAAAAATTATGCAAACTTTACTCATGCAAACATAAAGCTGATATGGCAAAGATTTGAAGTAAATTAAGAAAAATTAAATGCAAAAAGATAAAGAAAAAAGGCATAGAATTTTTGACCTATCGAAACAAAAGAACGCCCAGCAAGCTATGAGTAGAGTCATTATTTTTATTTCCTAGTAAGCAAAGAGAAGCATCGTTGACGTAGAAGCGAAGACATCAACAAGAATTATCATTGTAGCCTTTGCCAGGAGCCATCGCCATCACCTAGTGACACCATCGTCACATTCATTGGAGTCATCGCCATCGTCTAGAGTCGGAAGCTCACAAACGCCTTGAGTCAAAGCCTTTTATGTCTCAAGGTCCTATCATCGAAGGGTAACGTACTTTATACTATTGTCCATAAATAGTGCAAATAATGCATGATATTTTGAAACCCTGCACATTACTACACAAATATCATAGGGAGTACTCTCCGATATGGGCCATATGATGGTTATTAACATGTATGAAAAGTAATTAAGTTATGTCCATTCTCTGTAAGTGGATGATAGCATATTTTTGTCAAATGAATAGCACTTTTATTATCATAACTAAGAGTAACATTTTCTTGTGAGCAACAAAAATCTTCAAGAAAGCCTTTTAGCCAGACCATCTCATTGCTAGTTTCAGTGATAACTACTTATTCAACTTCTGGTGTTGACTTTATAACTATCTTTTACAACTTTGACATCCAACTAATGGCAATACCAGCCAAGGTATAGATGTAGCTAGTAGTACTTCTCCATATCTATAGCTATCCTTCCAAATTCACATCAATATATCCCTACGATTTTAAGTAATATCTTTTAAACTTCAATAAGTACATAATGTATCTTTTAAGTAGCATAAGGTCCACATTACAGCTTCTGTGTTCATTTCATGGATTTGATATATAAAACTCGTAATTCACACTGCACCTGCAATGTCTGGTATCTTTTTTCATTCACAAAATATTGTTTGCATCCTTATATCTTTCACATCAAATTCATTTGACAAATATCTTTTTAGATATTTGTGGGCTCCGAAAATTTGCGCCGCAACCTCTCCATGACCCCTTTCTTTTCTCGGTCGACGAGGAGATTTTTAACAAATAGGTTCCAAGGAAAATTTTCATAAGGTATATTAGGTTTTAGATAAGACATTACCCAGAGATTTCGCCCTCATTTTGTATGTATTTATAAAATGAGTTCTGATTTTCTATAGGGACAACCTTCTATAATTAAATACCTCTCCTGATAATGAGAGAGAACTTTCGATTAGGGCTAGATGTTGAACAGATACGTAATATCCAGCATATAGTAGCAAAAAAATTAAATATTAAAAATTGAAATTTTATCACCACGTATTAAAGCGGATGGTGGGGGAATGTAATGAACTCAATCAAGATCCCATTGGTCCATCATCCTAAATCATCATGATCCCTAGTTTACTTAGTCAAAGGAGGTGGTTAACCAAACCTGATAGAAGAATCCTTATCAGCAGCTATGGGTTACTTCATCCAATGGTATCTTATAGACTTGTGGTGAATATTTGTGTAAAGAGACATATTTGAGTCCACTTAGCTAATAAAGAGTTTTGTGCCTTATCGATTATACCCTATTGATTCATTACTCAAAGGTTTAAAACCATTGGAGAATATACGGACTCTGAATATTAATTTAGTGGTACCATTTGGCAAAGAAAACACCTAGTCATAGAGTCCCGATCATAATTGTTTACTTATTGTGTCATTTGACGGTGAAACCATCTATTAGAGGACACATGTCACATCCTTACTAGAAAGAGATGATTTGAGAATGAATTCTAGTGATATTCTCAACTAGATATTCGTTCTTTGTGAGCTTAACTGACTTTCAAACTTCTCCACTTCAACTGTGGATGGGTATTTTGTTTTAAGTATTTGATAATTAATTTTAGTTTTAAACATTGACATCATTCATGATTATAGAGTTTTGAATATTTGATAAGTCTTTGAAAGTTAACCCCTCCGGTTGAGATTTACATTCAACACGGATCATCGGGATGATTTTATTGTCACTATAAATGTTTATATTTTATGAGTCTGTGAGGCATTTTAAAAGTCTGGGGTCCCCTCCAATTGAGATAAACATTCAACACGACCATCATTGGATATTTTTGATAATTTCATTTTATTATTTAAACCATGTCGAGTCTGTTTAATTGTCAATAGAGGATCGGGTTAAGCTCCTAACTTTCAGAGTTGTTGTGCAGATATAAAAACCGAGGCATTCATTTTAATGTGTGAACTTTCTTATAATAGACATTGAAGGTCTGATATGAACGTATAAAATTAAATATTTTGGTTGACTTCAATGAGTGTCGACTCTGAGAGGTTATGCTTTTAGTACTTCAACCTTTCTTGTAATAGACCTTGAAGGTTTAATATGAATGTATAAAATCAAATACCCCAATAACATATGGGTATGCAGATTTTATTTTTAAATAGGATGTGAATATTTCAATAGTCTTAGAATCTATTTATCATTTTTATAACCTGCATAGCATTATCGTACGTCACACTTATGTTCATAGCAAGGTTTTAAAAGATGAAATCGGGAATCGAGGCCTTTTTTTCTAAGCGAGGCGAGACGTAAGTCTTGAGGTGGTTCAAGGCGTAAGCCTCAAAATGATTAAAATCAATTAATTTAAAATTATAAATAATGACAAAAAATAATAAAATATTATGTCAACTATGAATTTGAAGATTTGTTTCAAGATAATATTACTGGAATACAAGATTTAAAATAAACTCACTTAAAAATAAAACATCTCCTTAGGATCAAGACCCAAAGCAGGCTCATCATCACTTTGATTATCTTCAGAAGAATCTTCATAATTAATATCAAAGTCATCCTCAAACTCTTCTTCATCTATAATATTTTTTCCTTTATCTCCTATATCAGTTAATATTTCATTAGCTTTAAAATGAAACAATAGTAACATACAAAATAATTCATTATATTTAAGAATACTTTTGAATTTTTTTGAAGCTCCAATCTCACTTTGTTTCTTTCTTTATATACTTGGGTAGTTGTTTTATTGTCTTCTTCATTGACATGAGCTTCTCCTTCTGCTTCAACTTCAGAAACATCAACATTCTTAGGAGTAACTCATTCATCATTAGATTGTAACTCATCAACAAGCAAAGGGTCAATTTCATTCTCAATATTTTCTTGATTCTGCAATTTGAGATATCTATCTTTCAGTTTTTTGTTAAACATAACATAAACTAATTTGTTCATTCGATCTGCCGCCAATTGATTTCTTCTCTTTGTATGAATTTGATTGAAGATGCTCCAATTATGCTCGCATGCAGAAGCCGAACATGTTAGGCTAAGAACTTTAAGTGCAAAAGTTTTTAATTCAGGAACATCATCTCCAAACTGAGCCCACCAACGTTCTACATAAAGACAAACATAATATTTTATGAATATTGGTGGAGTTTCCTATCATCTCTTCCATATTTCTTTGTGTGACCTCCTTTGTGGTGGAAAACTTCTTTAAATAATCCGTACATTCCTTTTTCACCTCATTAGGTACTTTTGGACATGGTCCCACATTGACATGAGTGCAGGCTAGATGATCCTTCAACCTCTTGACGCCACCAGTTATGCGTTTCTCACAAAAATTATATTTCATGTAAACATATCCCTTCTTTGCACCTTCTCCTAACACTTCAAGTTGAGTTCCATATTTTCATGCAGGATCTTTCCTTCTTATGCCACTAGTCATGCTAATAATTTATATAAATATTAAATAATCAACATAAAAAATCAACAATAGGACAACATGAATACAACAATATACCGGTCTGCCGGGGGTCCAAGGTGGCGCTGCCCCCTAGTGGGGTTCGACCTGCGGGGGTTTTCGGGGGCGGCGCCGTTGGAACAAAATTTTATTGTAAGAGTAATTTTGAAATTCTGCTTATTTTTAAAGTTCGTAAATTATTTGTATGGAAAGATACCGAGTGGTATCGAGCATGTACCTATTGTTAAGAGAGTTGCTATTTGCATGTTTTACATTCTTGCAACTTGTATTATTTTGATGATTTTAAATATTATTGTTTTATGTATAGATATTTCCTAACACTTTTTGGAATATTTGTTTTTGCTCTAGTGTGTACTAACATTTCAGGAAAATCAACTCCAAACTATGAAGACTTCAAATCAAATTCAGCATCCAATCATTTGTAAATTAAAAGCTTTAAAAATATTTTTGAATTGAGACTGAGTGATTGTAATTGAGTGAATATTCACAACACACACATATGGGGGAATAATTTTTGTGAACTGATCATACGGGACGAACATAGTTCGTACGGGACGATCATGACAAATAATCCCTCGGAAGAACAATGGATCGAACAGGCAGGGAGAAAATTTTTCTAAGTCCTATTCGTCCGGACGAATTTAATATTCATCCCGGGACGAACGCCTCTGAATTCTCACTTTGCACTGTTCGTCCAG